GGGGGGGGGTGTAGGCTGAAGGAAAACTCTCAGTTGCTTCAGTGTGAAGGGAGCATGAGAAAAGCTTCGTAGTCTTCTTCAGCAAGACCAGGCATCAGAGCCTGTGAACTGGGAACGACCCCATCTCCTGGTCGATGCTGCCCCCTGGAGGTCGATGTGGATGTCGCGGCTCCCTTTCACGCAGTTATGTCTCATCCGGGTCCCGAGAGACTGTTGGATGAGCGTTCTTATGGATTCTCCCGGCGAGTTCCATGTCCCCGAAAACTATGTGCATACCTCCGGGTTCCCTCATCAAGGGTCTCCTCATACTACAGCACTGCCCCTCAGTGAGCCCTGCAAAATAACGCGCTTACCGCTCGTCTGAATATTTGGGTTCGGAGATGGATAGAAGGGGTCTGTAGTGCGCGAAATCAAAGTGCCTGCCTGCACAGCCCTTGTCCCATCCGAACATTAGTTGACTTTCGATGAAGTCTCCTGTCTTGGAGGCAGTCCCCCTCGACCCTTTCTCCGGGAACCCGCTGTTTTGTCAAAGCGGCCTGTGCCTCCCCTGTCCCAAGTCCCAGACCCTGAGCGAACCTCCTTCTGTGCCCCTCACGCTGAGGCTGCAGTCAGATCAAATGTGATGAACATCTGGATCCGCTAAGGTTGAGAGCTAAAAGTGGGGAGGGTATAGGTGGGCGAGGAATGAGAAGTGGGAAAGGAAGGCGGAGGGACAGAGAGTTCCGGGGGAGAGCTTGCGGGCCCCTCTGAGCCCAGCACACCAACACCACCGCCTAGCACGCGGCAGGCCTCAGGGAATGTGTGGGGCAGAGTCAGGCAGGGTAAACCTGGAAGCACGCCGAGAGCAGGGAGCAAGGGGCGGAGGCGCCGGGTGAGGTCAGTTAAGGACACTGCCCTGGTTCCGCCTCTGAAGCATCTGGGCCAATCAGGAGACGCCGACAGTCCCCCCAAATCACCCCGTCCCCGCCGCACTTTAGCCTCCGGCGCCCAGGCTCACAAAGCAGTGAGGAGGAAGCTTTGATGTCCGGCTTCCAATCAGAGTGCGGCTCTCGGAGATGGGGCGGAACCCAAAGAAGGCGGGAGCGAGAGAAGGCACCCCATCCGCCACGCCCCCACCCCGCAGCAGCCAATCCGGAGAGTCTGCCAGGCGGGACAGTTCCTACTCGGCCAACCCGCGCGCCTACCTCTCTCTCCACCTCCCGCGCCCTGGGCGGTTAAAGACCCAGCCTTCAGACTCTGGCGGCGCCTTCCAGGAACCCCCCCACCCCGCCCCTACCTTGGCAGGCCGGGCCCGCATCCAGAAGGCCTAAGCGGGAAGCAGAAATCATTTTCCTTCCATCACTCGCTGGGACCTGGGAAGGAATCCTCAGGCTATAGGGGAGGAGGAAACATCCTCAATTACCATCCCTCTCACCCCTAGTCTGTCTGTGCCTTACCCCTTAGGACTTGAAGGCGCCTCCGAGTCTCTCCTACCTAGTCTGAGTTCAAACGAGGTGTATAGGTGGGAAGCAGCAGGAAGGCTCCAAGTCAAACATAGAAATGGATGAGACAGACACACTGCAGACCTGTCCTACACCTGCCTCAGTGGTGTAGGTGCTACAGCCCTCCATCAAGGGTTGTGCCAGCCAGAACCAGAGGAGCTCAAAAGCTGATGTTCAAGGAAAGGAGACAGTCCCAGGGTCAGTTTGAGGGCAGGGATGCAAGGAGAGACCATAGTGGGGAACCAAGGCAGCCGTAGGACAGTGCCGGAGGCTGCACAGCCATGTTCCCAGCACCTGATGCATTGGCCATCTTAAACAGGGGCCACCTTCCTCCACCAGGCTGGTTACTCATGAAATAGTTCCTGCCTAAAACCAATGCCACCACTTCTTTGGCCTGAAGCAGTTAAGAGTTTATTATCTGGGAGGGCGCCTGGGTGGTTTAGTTGGTTAGGCATCCAACTTTGGCTCAGGTCATGATCTCACAGTTGGTGAGTTCAAGTCCCGTCGGGCTCTGTTGACAGCTGGGAGCCTGGAGCCTGCTTCAGATTCTGTGTCTCCCTCTCTCTCTCTGCCCTTCCCCCGCCTGCACTCTGTCTCCATATCAAAAGTAAATAAACGTTAAAAAAATTAAAAAAAAAAAAGTTTACTACCAGTACCCCTTCCTTATGGACACCCATCAGAAGGGAGGTAAGCCCAGGAGGTAGCCTGAGAGGAAAGGTGACCCTGGAATAGAGATGGGGCCACTTGAAGGCCCAAGGAGGAAAGAGGAAGGAAATGGGAAAGGTGTGTTACGTCATATTAAATATTTATTGTTTTCTGCAAACTGACCTTGGAGTAACTCTCAAGCCAGGAGGGGACTGGTTAGTGTTCAAGTTGCTGAGATCTTAGGTCAAAAAGCCATAGAAAAGGGGCACCTGGGTGGCTCAGTCACGTTCTCTTGGTTCATGAGTTCAAGCCCTGCATTGGGTTGCTGCTGTCAGTGCACAGCCCGCTTGCATCCTCTGTCCCCCCACCTCTGCCCCTCCCACACTTACACTCTCTCAAAAATAAATATTAAAAGAAAAAAAAAGCTACAAAAAACAAAACACTGGGGGTGGGGCCAGGGGAGAGGAATCAATGACTTGGAGGCAGTTTCACCTTGCCACCAATTCCAAGAGCTGGGGCTTTTGTGACTCAGGACATGGTGACAAGAGTTGAGTAAATCAGAGACCAAGGCAGTGAAGGTTTTACTGGGGAAAGAAAACTTAGGTGTATGTGTGTGGGGGAAGGATGGTGAATGAAATAGGGAAAATGATAAAGGTGTTTTGGAAGGCCAGGGGGAAGTGGTCCTGGGAACCTGAAAACAAGGAAATTCAGCTTATCCTGATAAGGCAGGGTCCGGGGAATGAAGGCAGGGTGAGGCATGTCAAGGACCTGGGAGGCACAAGGAGAATTGGAAAGGAAACCCCAGGTGAAGAAGAGTCTGGGATAGGGTACAGAAGTCCATGGAGAAGGCCGGTGGATCCCAGGGTCCGAGACATCAGAAGTTGGGCTTGTGCTTCTTGAGCTCCACCATTAGATGATGAATGTTGATGAGCTCAGCCCTGGCAGGGAGAGCTCGGAGCTGGGGCTGAGAGAGCACACGGTGGAACCGATGATAGAGCTGGATCAGCTGGGTCAAAGCTCCCTGGTCAGAGAAAGTCATGGAAGGATCATGTGGGGTGGTGCTGAAGATGATGTTAGGAATCAGGCTAGGGCTCATCCAGAATTCTGGGCATGCTGGTAGTTGACAATCAAGGGTCACTTGGATGATGCGAGCCCAGGGAAAAGAGAGGGAAAACAACTAGTGACAGGGTGGGGCAAAGTGAGGGCTGGGAGTTGTAAGTCACCTGGATGATACTGGTCCCATTTCTGAAGTTGGTGAAACTCCGCATTACATCCTGACTCAGGGACTCCACTGATGATTTCCAGGAACTACCAAAGCCACGGATCAGCTGAGTAACCCGGGCTGATGGCAGGAGGAAAGAGAGAGGGTGTCAGAGAAGGACTTGGCTAGGGTGATCTTTGGCCCAAAGTCCTCCCCCAGGCACAGCCTTCCTCGGCATCCAACCCCATTTTCCTACTCTACCCTCCTCATGGGATCTGCACCCTCTCGTTTTTCTTTTCCACTCACCTTACCACTGAACCCACCACTACCACATCATCCTCATACCTTCTTCCCCTCGAAGCCGCTCAGCCTGTCCACGCTCAATCAAAGCCTCCGCTTCCTTCACAAATGCCACCAGACCTCCAAAAGGGGGAGACAGCAACTCTTCAATGAATTCCTGTAGAAATACACATATACACAGGGTCAAGGGGCCCTGGTGTCAGCACCTTTCCTTGCGGATCATGACTGACCGGGTCCTCAGAACACTCCCAGAGCAAGTTATATACTTTAAGACACCACTGGTCTCAGGGGTAGGGGAAATCTCCAAGGATCCCCTTCTTCAAAAACAAAAACCAAAAAACTAAACTGGAGCTGGAAGCAGAGTAATAATAAATTGGGGTCAGGGCCGGAACCAGAGGGGTGGGCGGCTGGGAGAGGCAAGGCTACCAGAAGGCAAATGGCCATAGCAAATCTGCTATCTGGAAACGGAGGGAGTCTGATGGCACACTCAGGTGGAGAAGCAGAGCCTGGCTCTCTCATGAGAACCTCAAAGAGGTACTGATGTAGATCCAAGTGGATTGCGTCTTTCAGCTATTACAAAGGCAGAGACAAATCCTCTTGAAAGAAAATATCCTCAGGGTGCCTGGGTGGCTCAGTCAGTTGAGCTTCCGACTCTTGATTTCGGCTCAGGTCATGATCTCAGGGGCATGGGCATCAAGCCCTGCATCAGGCTCCATGCTGAGGGTGGAGCCTGCTTAAGATTCTCTCTCTCTCCCTCTGCCCCTCTCCCCAGCTCATGTGTTCCCTCTCCTCTCTCTCTCAATCTCAAAAAAATAATTAATTAAAAAATAAAATTACTGAAAAAAGAAAAATATCCTCAATCCCATTTTAGGCCCATATGACTCCCCCTGATCATAAGATCAGGCAATCAACTCAAAGATCATCAGACACATAAGAAAGGAAAAACTACCATAAGAATCAGTATAGATAGTAAGCAATGGACTTAGACCCGCAGATTGCCAACATCAGAACTATCAGATACACAGTGGTTGTGCATTCTGTATGAAACATTCAAAGAAGCTAAAAATATAGACACAAAGATGACCACTCAACAAGATTAGGAATGGGCTGGTGAGGTGCCCCCCGATTCTAAACTTTTTTTTTTTTAATTTTTTTTTAACGTTTATTTATTTTTTTGAGACAGAGAGAGACACAGCATGAACAGGGGAGGAGCAGAGAGAGAGGAAGACACAGAATCCCAAGCAGGCTCCAGGCTCTGAGCTGTCAGCACAGAGCCCGACGCGGGGCTCGAACTCACGGACCATGAGATCATGACCTGAGCCGAAGTCGGACGCTTAACCGACCAAGCCACCCAGGCGCCCCCCGATTCTAAACTTTTAAGAATTTAGATAAAATAAGCTAAAACTATGTAAAGCAAAATTTGATAGAACTACAGTAAAAAAGTGACAAGTCTACAAAGTTGAAAGCATCTCTTTCAACTACTGATAAGTACACGCAAAAAAAAAAAAAATCATTAAAGATGTAGATAATTTGAACAATACAATTAAAAAGCTTGGATCTCCACACTGAGCAATTACAGAATACACATCCTTCTCAACCATGCATGGAGCATTTATAAAAGTTGATCATGTACTAGGCCACAAGTGAATCTAAACAAATTTCCAAAACTCAGTACCAAAAAACCCCACATTCTCTACCCACAATGTAATTAAGTTAGACATTAATTTAAAAAAAAAAAAAAAAAAA